TTCTTGAGATATTTTAGACTCTGAAAACTCATACTTATTCAATCTTGACGGTATATTGAATACACCTCGTTTTTCAACTATCTTGTTATCTGATATTTCGTTTTTATGACAAATAGTAAAAAATCTACTATCCAACTCTTTTGTGCATTACTGATCTCTGTCTGGCAGTAATGAATGCTGAGGTGCTAGGTGAGAACAATGCTGTCTGTGCTGATGAAGGTTATGTGTCAATTTGGCAGGGCCATGATTCTCAGTGGTTTAGCAGTTATGTAATGACATTTGGAAATTATGTAATGATGTATTCATTCTCCATTTTCACATAGACTGATTATCACATAATGACCTAGTCTTTGGGATAGTGAGGAGTGGGAGAGTACTGAGTATGTTTTAGTGCAATAGGGCTAGAAGAACTCTGCAAATGTTACTACTACCTCCTCCTGTATCACCGTACTCAAATCACATAATCAAATTGTTGGGAATATTACTTTTTAAAATTTATAATGATTTTCTCTTAGTTTTTCTGTTTTAATGTATCTTCAATGATAAGATATTTCTTCTGTTATTGTTAAATCCATATCCTTACTTCTAATGTAGTTGGGTTTTCCCTATAGTGCTATTATGTCTTAGACTTAAATAAAAATTTTGTGATCATAAGTTTTTGTTTTTTGTTTTTTCCCTCACACTCTTTTTAATAATTTTCCACCCCCACTCTTGACAATCACAAAGTGTATTGAACACAAGTGAAAATAAAACTATGTTCTCAAAAAATTGAGATTTATTACTTATGATGCATTTACGTTAGTCCCATCACTGAGCTAATATCAGTAAAATCAATAAGAGCAAATAAAAACCATAGTACTCAGACTAACTGAAGCAACATTTTTATACTGATCACACAGGAACAGAAGACATGCTTTATGTAGTTTGCCTAACAGTTCCTGACTCTATTTACATGAAGCTTTATGTCAGCAGATATTTGTATTTAACCATTAACTAGTCTGCTTTTTCTAGCAATTGGTGTTATGGTATCGTGGAATGAGGGGAGAATCAGGAGACTTGGTTTCTATCTGTATGATCTTAAGCAAGACATGTAACCAGTCCATAAGATACGGAATTGGATATTTTAACTCTGAAGAGACTTTTAATATGGATATAAAACAGGATAATAGAACATGTTTCCTTTATTGAAAAAAGATGATTTAAAGGTTATGTTGATGAGATAGTTTAAATAAAATAGCTCCTTATGAAACCTGTTACAGTTATACTTTATTATGATTTGTGTAAATAAATGGGCCTCTGATCATCTTGTTTTGAATTTTTGTAATTTTGGCTAAGCATTGTATTTGTCATTTTTAGTAATTTTATTCACGTTGACAGCTTGTCAGAATGTAATTTTTAGTAGACATGATCATATGTAAATAGAGGACAAGTTACTGCCTTCGTCATCTTGTGTATTTAATTTCTTTTGTGAAAGATAATTGCCTTTTCTTAGACTGCATTGAGATCCACTCATAATTAGCAACCACTTATGGCAAGAAAATGTAATCCAAACAAGCAAGGTACTTAGAAACACAATTTGTTTTTAATGTGTAATTCTTAGTAATTTGTAAGACATCTAATTTTATTCCCAATTCATAAAACATAGTTGGGAGGAAAGAATCACCTTGAGAAAGATCATACATCTAGTTGGACTTTTTTTTTTTTTTTCCCTCTTCCTTTCTTTCTGCCTCTTCCACCACACATCTTGGCTTTTTAGCTCTTATTTTTTTCTGCACTTTTCAGTAAGGTCATCTATTTCATTCATCTTTTCAAAATGACAATCCAAAATTAGAAGTAGTAGTTGTTGTTGTGTGCCGTGGAGTCGGTTCCAACCCATAGCAACCCTGCATAGGGTTTCCGAGGCTGTAAATCTTTACAGGAGCAGAAGAACTCATCTTTCTCCCTTGGAACAGCTGGTAGTTTTGAACTGCTGACCATGAGATTAGCAGCCTGATTGGTAACCACTATGCTATCAGAGCTCCTTAAATTAGTATTAACATGTCAATCAAATAAAAATTTGATAGAACAATTTATGGGTCACAACCACCTTCCTCCAATATGTTGATCAGTTTGACTTCACTAAATTCTGTGTATCTAGAAACTCTTGATTGATTGCAGTATTAACAATGCTACAATGAACTGTTTTCTGACTCACCCTATGTTCAATTTCACAGCTCGCCCAGTCACATTTCTTTGTTGCTTTTTACATTTGTTGATGAAAGTTAGTACTTTTCTCTTTAAATTATCCATTGTTGTAAAGTATTAGTGGGTTTATCGGTGGGAAACAATGAGGCAACATTTATTAGTTGGAAACAATTAGGCAACTACTTGCTTTACTGTCTGCATGAGTAACACAGTTGCTCCAAAATCAATCACTGGCAAAAATGTCATTAGTCACTGATAACCATGTGGTCTGATATTCCTATAATAATTTGTGGGCTGAAGAGGTGACAGCAAATTTAGTATTTTATACAACTAACATTTAAGATATTGTAACTGACATCGGTGTCATACTGTTGGAGAACTGATGTTAACTAACCCTTGGTAACTGGAGTTCATGTTTGTTGCCACCAGCCCAAAACAAGTCCTGCTTGTTTTGTAAATGATGTGAAGCAATTCTGAAAAAAAAAGCTACTGTAAACGAAATGCTCTGGATTTGATTTTTTTAAACAGATTATGGCAAAAGTAAAGTCTTGATGGAATTCCTGTAGGATAATGTGTATATTATTTGACATGCTACATATAGTGTAGCTGTTTTATCTGATAAGACTGATACTGTGAAGAACAGGATATTTGAAGATATGCATCAAGGTATCAACTAGAGCTTGGTTTGGGGCCTCCGTTGTATCCAGTCAGCAATGGCTGGAATAGCTTGGACTTTTCTTTGTAAAGTCACAAGCCTGGGATGGATGTCTAGCAAGTCAGATTTAAAGGCCAAAAGCGTGGTACTGCAAACATCCCAGTAGAAATCTGCCCAAGTTACCTAGTTGAAAGGAAACAAAAATTGTAATTTCATTTGCATATAAAAGGTAAAATTTTGGCAACATTCCAAAATTAAGCTTAATTTTGTAGTCTAAAATATTTCACTAGTCTTAATACAAAATCAGAATGTGTATTGACATCCGTATATAAGATACTTTTATATATATATATACAAACACACATAAATGAGGCTTCAGAAAGTTCATGGAAAAATTCCATTGTCTTGCAATTACATTTTTCCATGAACTTTTTGAAACCCTAATCTTAAGGAGCTTTGGTAGCATAGTGGTTACGAATCGGGCTGCGAACCACAAGGTCAGCAGTTCGAAACTACCAGCCGCTCTGCGGGAGAAAGATGAGGCTTTCTACTCCCGTAAAGATTTACACCCTCGGAAACCCTGTACAGGGTCGCTATGGGTCGGAACTGACTCGATGGTACTTAACAACAACAACAATCTTAATACACACATGATACTCTTGTAACCTCCAGTTTCCACATATGTGCCACCTCTTTAGTACCCAATCCTTATTTTTCTATCTATTCCAAAAGTTCTCTTTGTAGAACAAAGCATGATCTAGTCCAAGACCATACATTTCATCTGTTCATGTTCTTTAACTCTGTTCAACCCCAATCTAGTCCTTCAGCATGTCCTCTCTAGTCCTTCAGGATTTGCGTGATCATTTTATCATGTTTACATTGTAACTTGTATACAGGAACAATAGAATTTCTATCTTAAAGTTTTCAAGTTAAGCATTTTAGATTAAACTATAATTAGACTTCAGTTGTGCTGCTGTAGGATCAGCACTGGGCTGTGAACTACAAGGTCAGCAGTTCAAACCCAGCTGCTCCTCAGAAATGCTATACAGGGTTACTGTGAGTCAGAACCGACTCGATGGCACTTAACAACAACATGAAAGCCAAAGTATGATCTTGAGTACATTCCATCAGAATATAGATTTGACGCATTGGACACTAATGACTAAAGACAAGATGAGTTGTAAGATGGCATCAAGCACATCATACATGAAAGCAAAAGGTCACAGATGAGACAGAACGAAGACTAAAGTAGACCAGAAGAGACACTGGAACTTGCTTTGAGCATTAAAAAGCTAAAGCAACTGGAAGAAATGAAACAGAGCTGAACAGAAAAATTTAAAGGGCAGCTCAGGAAGACAAAAAGCATTATAGTGAAATTGCAAAGACCTCGAGTTAGAAACCAGAAGGGAAGAACACAGCATTTCTCATGCTAAAGAACTGAATAGAAAATTCAAGCCTCAAGTTGAAATACTGAATTCTATTGGCAAAATATTGAATGACACAAGAAGTATAAAGAGCCTCAAGTTCAGCGATTCAGCCTCACTAGCTGTTCCTTGGAAACCCTATACAAGGTTGCTATGGGTCAGAACTGACTCAACGGCACTTAACAACATGTGGCTCTGTAGGGTAAGCATTGGGCTACTTATTACAGGTGGTTCAAACCCACAAGCCACTCCTTGGAAATGTATACAGCATCACTATGAGTCGGAACTGCACTTATACAACATCATTTTTACAAAAGTGTCTTGACCTTGATGGAGCTTGTATTGAAAAATAAAGTTTCTTTCTTTAAAAAAAAAAAAAGTATAAAAAGAAGATGGAAGGAATACTTACTGTACCAAGCAGAATTAGTTGAGGCATTGTGCTGAAAGTACTCAATCATCTATGCTAAAAAAAAATTACGGAAGACAATTATCTCTACCAACTGGAAGAGAGTCATATTAGTGTCCATTCTAAAGAAAGGTGATCTAACAGAATGGGGAAGCTATGGAAGAGTATAAAGACCAATGGATACCATTGCTGATATCAGATGGATCTTGACTGAAAGCAGAGCATTCAACTGTGTGGATCATAACAAACTATGATTAACCTTGCAAAGAATGGGAATTCCAGAACACTTAATTGTGTTCATGAAGAACCAGTACATAGATTAGGTGGCAGTTGTTAGAACAAGTGGGATGCTGTGTGCTCTAAAATCAGGATAGTGTGCATCAGGGTTGTATCCTTTTACTATAATATGCAATCTTTATGGTGAGCAGTTAATGAAAAACTGGACTGTATATATGAAAAAGAACATGGCATCACAATTAAGGGGAGACATTAACAGCCTGCGATATACAAATGATACCACCTTGCTTGTTGAAAGCAAAGAGGACTTCAAGCACTTACTGATGAAGATCAAAGAATACACAACCTTCAGTATGTATTACATTTTAGCAGAGAAAATGAAAACCATCACAGTTGGACCAATAAGCAATCTTGATAAAAGTACTAAAGTTGTCAGAGATTACATTTTACTTGATTCACAGCATCTATGGAAACATCAATCAAGAAATCCACCAACACCTTGCGTTTGGAAAATCTGGAAAAGAACTTTTTAAATGTTAAAACTAAAACAGCTGCACACTCAGGACCAAGGTACTCCTGACCCAAGACATTGCATTTTCAGTTGTATCATATGCATGTGAAAGCTGGACAATGAATAAGAAAGAATTGAATTTGAATTATGGTGTCGTTGAAGAATATTGACTATCCTATGGACTGCCAGAAGAACGAACTCACCTATCTTGAAAAAAATACAGTCTCTTTAGGAGGGAAGATATTGAGACTTTGTTTCACATACTTTGGACGTGTTATCAGTAGGGATCAGCAACTGCAGAATATTATGTTGTTATTATGTGCCGTGAAGTCAGTTCTGACTCATAGCGACCCCGTACAGCGTTTCCGAGGCTGTAAATCTTTATGAGAGCAGAAACCTCATCTTTCTCCCGCAGAACAGCTGGTAGTTTCGAACTGCTGATCCTGAGGTTATAGACCGATTCGTAACCACTATGCTATCAGAGCTCCTTTTTTCATATATTACTCCATAAGCATTTAATGAAAATTCTGCTTCCAAACAGCTTACCTTCATCTACGGTGGTCACTTATGGATGCAGTAGCTCAAAAGGGAACAAATCTTTACAGCAAGGATCATTCCCACCCCTCGGTACACAGGGTAGACAGGGATGGGCTACTTGGACATTGGTTACACAAAATGGGGGTTGGGGGCTATAGAGGCAAGAAGTGACTGGCTTACAAGCTTTTTAAGAGCGAGCCTAGATCCAGAGGGCACGGAGGAAGGTAGAATGAAGGAGATGGGGATTGTGGTACAATAGTAAATTTTTGCTATCAGGACTGACTGTAAGGGTTGGAAATGTAAAGGTAGACGTTTGGTAACAAAAGGAAGCGAGTGGTTGACTTTGCAGTCCAGGAATGAAGGTCCCTGGGACTGTCAAGGGAGAGGAGCATAGTGCAGGACCCTACCCAGAGAAACAGCAACACCAGAGATGGAGGCAGAGTCGATGACGTGGAGAGATGGAGCGGCTGGGGACTCTAGACCCAGAGAGGGAGAGGGTCTGTGTGCTGATGACCAGGGGGCAGGCTTGCAGGGTATACCCTTTGTTTGTGCATGGAGGAGATTGTAACCATAGCAATGAAATGATATACGATAGGATGAACGTAAAAGCTAATGCTATCACATAATTCACAATAAAACATTAAAAAAAAAAAAAAGATTTACAGCCTCACAAACCCTATAGAGGGTTGCTACGAGTTGGAACTGACTCAACAACACCCAATAACAACAATGTTTTTTAATAGTCTTGAGTGGTGGAAGTGATTTGCTATCAGCTGCTTTCGAAAGATTGGAAACCTGTAAACCTATCCAGTGGCAATGCCGATAGACATGCCTGGTGATCTGCTTTTGAAACGATTGTTGTTAAGTGCCATCAAGTCGGTTCCAACCCATATCCACCCTGTATAGGGTTTCCAAGGAGCAGCTGGTGAGCTTGAACCACCAACCTTGCAGTTCAAATGACTTTGCAGTCTGATGCATTAGCCCACAGTGCCACACCAAGATATGGTGCAGTTCTTTGTAATATAGGGTTGTTGCCACGAGTCGGGATCAATTTCAGAACAGCTAATAATTAAAAAAAAATTTTTTTTTAGAACAGCTAATAATAAAAACATATTACTAAAAAAAAAAAGTGTTAAGTGTCATCAAGTCAATTCCAATTCAGCAACCCTGATAGGGTTTCCAAGATGAGGTTGGTGGGTTTGTCAGTCTTACAGTTAGCAGTCCAATGCATATCCTACATGGCCACACCAGGACTGCATGCTTAGTAGGTTGTTAAGTGCTGTCGAGTGGATTCTGACCCATATTGACTCTGTATAGGGTTTTTGAGGATCAGTTGGTAGGTTCGAGCTGCCGACCTTATGGGTCGCAGTCTTACAGTACCACAGCAGAAGTTCATGCTAAGTATGGAGCCAGTGAAATAGAAGTCTCTCAACAAGTTGCACTGATTCAATGACTGCAGCAATAGGCTTAAACATAGTTATTTTGAGGATTGTGCAGAAGTGGGCCGTGTTTTGTTCTGTTGTACAGAGAGTCACTATGAGTCAGAATTTACTAACAAGGTAAAAGATAATTATGAATGTTTATTAACCTGTAATTTAAATTCAGGATTAGGATTTTTATTTAATCTCACTGATGTTACGTACTATTTCCTTAGTCCCCCATTGAAAATCTCGATTCTCAGTTACATCAGCATAATTTCATATTGCTTTATCCAGCAATATGTTTTTGTTGTTGTTAAGTGCCTTCGAGTCGGTTCCGACCCATAGCGACCCTGTACAGGGTTTCCGAGGGTGTAAATCCTTACGGGAGTAGAAAGCCTCATCTTTCTTCCGCGGAGCAGCTGGTAGTTTCGAACTGCTGACCTTAAGGTTCGCAGCCCGATTTGTAACCACTACGCTACCAGAGCTCCAGCAATATAGTTATTAAAAATATGTTTTAAAGGACAGTATTACCAACAATATGATCATTGAGAATTCTGTGCAATCGTTAGCTTTTTTTGTACAGAGAGAATATCTGCCTTGAGATACATAATCAAGTTTCTTGAAATAAGTGTTCACACACATTTCTGTTATGTACTCCATGCACTATGTGACACAGGTTTATTTCACTTAGCTTTTGATATTAAGAATAACTTTAATTTTGAGTTTCTAATCACAAAATTTTATGAATCCAATGTCAAATCTATTAAATATTTTGGCAAGTAAGTTTTGCTTTTATCTCTTCTCTCCAACTTATAAATACCTCCCTATGGGTAACTATTTTCAACAAATGTTTTTACATTCTCAGTATTCTTTATTAAAAACCATTTTCTCATATTTTAAAAAATGTAAAACATACTCACAGAGTTACCAACAAACCACTCTTTTTTCCCTAAATATGTGTCCAAATCTTGCAGAAGAATAGGTGCATCACATGTGAGAAGTTCATTAAACATCTTTTCCTAGAACAGGGAGAAAAAGATCACCTTAAGAATAATGGGAAATGCTCATAGAATCCAGGTTCTCTGGAGCCACTGAGACTTGATGAACCCCTGAAATTATTATTACCTGGAGATAATCTTTAATCTTTAAATCAAGCATACTTTAACTTAACTAATAAAGAATGTCAGCGTTGAGATTTGAGCTTTATAAAGAGCTGCCTATATGGGATCAAATTAACAAGAGAAACTAAAAACCTAGCTAGAAAATTCAAGAGGCAGTGAGTTTATGTTAATGAAGGAGAAGCCATTTGGGGAAAAGGTTGAAAATGGGAGGATGTTATCAGTATCACTGAATTGTAATGATGAAATCCTGTTGATTTGTTTATGTCCTGCTGTGTATATTATCAACAATAAAAATTAAAAGAATAATGGAAGGACCAATATAATTTGAGAAAAAATTCAACATGAATTTAGAAAGGAAGATAAATAATTCTATACATGTTTTTCTCAAATTTATAATATTGGAGTCATGTCTGAGTGACTGTTAAGTGCAGTCAGGTGAGTTCTGACTCAACCCTGTATAGGGTTTCTAAGGTGAGTTTGAACTGCTGACCTTGCAGTCTAGTGCCACACCTGAAACTGACTATAGTTATTGTTGTTGTTGTTAAGTGGCGTCAAGTCAATTCTGACCCATAGCGACCCTGTGTAGGATTTCCAAGGACCAGCTGGTGAGCTTGAACCACCGACCTTGCAGTTCAAAGGACTTTGCAGTCTGATGCATTAGCCCACAGTGCCACATCAGGACTCCGTCTATATTAGTCATCCCTTTTATACTCATGGATTTAAAAAATAAATATCTTTGTGCCAATTCTTAGGGTTTATTTGTAAAAAACAAACATTTCACCTATAAAAATTAATACTTTTTATCTTTTGCTGTTAATGAAAAGCAGTTCCATTATGCTTTAGATTTCTAAAATGTCCTGTTTTCTTAGCCTGTTGTTGAGTGTTGTGTTGATTCCAACTTATAGCGATGCCATGTGGCAGTAGTAACTATCAAGTACGGTTTTATTGGCTTTATCTTTATAACAGCAGATAAATAGCTTTTGCTTTCTCTGAGCCTCTCAGTGGGCTCAAACTGCCAACCTATAACAACTGAGCAAGCACTTAACCATTTACTCTACCAAGGTTTCTTTTCTTAGCCTAGCTCCCCTAATGTTAAATAATAGAACTGAAGGAAAATAGCTTAATTTTATTTTGTAAGACTGGTTTCACTCCCGTTTTGCAGTTCTTCAGCTCAACATTGCATGGAATAAATATAATCCATATGAATGCTCATCAGCCTTTATAAATCTTTCTCTAGCCTGCCTTTGTGCTTTTGTATCAGATTTGTTTTCTTTGAATTTCATCTACAAAACTCTTCATCCAGATGTCCTTTTGATGTATTATTTAAGTTGACATTGCAAACAAAAGATTAATTATCTTTAATAAAAAAAAAAGAACAGTAATATCTGTTTTTTACTCTTTATTGTAAATTGGGTGAAGGTTTACAGAGCAGATCAACACACAGTCCCTTTCCCTCTCTGAGTCTATAGTCCCCAGCTGATCCATCTCTCCATGTCATCTCAATACATCTTGATTGCATGTTTGATCAATTTCAGATAGAAGGAGTTAGTAGAATTCTTCTATTTCATCCTCACTGGCTTTAGTGGTTGGTGTGTAAATTTGAATAATAGTGGTATTAACTGGGCTTCCCTGTAGAAGCATGGATATTATCCTATCATAGATAACCTTGTACCTCATGACTGATCTGGATATGTTCTTTTTGACAATGAATGCAACACCATTCCTCTTCAATTTGTCATTTCCAACATAGTAAACCATGTGGCTCTCAGATTCAAAATGGCCAATACCAGTCCATTTCAGCTCACTAATGCCTAAGATATTGATGTTTATGCATTTCATTTCATTTTTGATAATTTCTAATTTTCCTAGATTTATACTTCATACATTCCATATTCTGCTTATTAATGGATGTTTACAGCTGTTTCTCTTCATTTTGAGTTGTGCCCCATCAGCAAATGAAGGTCCCATGGGCTTTACTCCCACAGGCTTTATTCTATTCGCGTCATCATGGTCAACTCTACTTTGAGGAGACAGTTCTTCCCAAGTCACATTTTGAGTGCCTTCCAAGCTGAGAGGTTCATTTTCCGGCACTATATCTGACAGTGTTTCTCTGCTATTCAAAAGGTTTTCAGTGACTAAATATTCAGAAGTAGCTTGTCACTCCTTCTTCCTAGTCTGTCTTTGTCTGGAAGCTCATCTGAAACCTGTCCACCATGGGTGACCCTGCTGGTATTTAAAATACTGGTGGCATAGCTTTCAGAATCACAGCCACTCACAAGCCACCACGGTATGACAACGTGACAGATGAGTGGTGATTAATTTCACTTTCTTTCCATATAGCTCTGGCTAAGTCTGACAGCACAATATTGAATAGGAGTGGTGATAAAGGGCACCCTTGTCTGGTTCCTATTTGCAAAGTGAATGCTTTTGATTTCTCTTCATTAAGAGTCATGTTGACTATTGCTTATTTATAGATACTCTTAATTATATTGAAAGATTTCCTTTCCTTTCCTAGTTTGTTCACTGTTTTTATCAGGAATGAGTATTGAATTTTTTTCAAATGCCTTTTCTGCACAATTGGTATAATTATGTGGTTCTGTTCCTCTAAGTGGTGGATTTCATTGATTGTTTTTCTAATGTTGAACCATCCTTGCCTTCCTGTTATAGATAAAACTTGGTCATGATGTATTCTTGTTTTGATATTTTGTTAGATTCCTTTGATTTTGAGTTTGTGTATAATGTCCATGAGGGATATTTGTCTCTAATTGTCTGTTTTTAAAGATGTATGGGCTGGTTTTGATATCAGAGTTATGCTCGCATCATAAAATGAATTCAGGAGTATTCCATCCTGAATTCTACACACTGGTATAATTTGGGTATATTAGTGTTAGCTTTTTCTGAATCTATGGTAGAATTCTCCAATGAAAGTGTCTGGGTCCAGAGATTTTGTTGTTGTTGGGAGTTTTTAAATGACCTCATCAATTTATTTTTTAAAAAGCTCTGTCCACATATTCTATTTTATTGTGTGTTAGTTTAGGTAAGTTTGTATTTCTATAATCAATTTCTTCTAAGATTTCAAGTTTGTTGGAGTTCAGTTTTTCATAGTATAATTTTACAACCTTTTTATTTTCAATTAGTTCTATTGTGATGTTGCCCATATCACTTCTCATTAAGGTTATTTGCATCTTCTCCTATTTTTCATTTGTTAGATGGGTGGGGTGAGTAGTGTCTTGATTTTATTAATCTTTGCAAAGAACCAACTTCTTAGTCTTTGATTTTTTCTATTGTTTTCTGTTTAATTTACTTTTGTTCTAATCTTTCTTATTTCATTACTTTTGGTGACTGTAGGCTTATTTTGCTGCTTTTTTTCTAATTGTTGAGGATATTGATTTGGGTTCTTTCCTCTTTTTTGATGTGTGTATTTATTGCTATAAATTACCCTTCAAACACTGTTTTTGTTGTATTCCAATGCTTTGGACAGTGAATAAGGAAGATTGTAGAAGAATTGGTGTTTTTGAATTATGGTGTTGGAGGAGAATATTGAGAGTGCCATGGGCTGCCAAAAGTACCAACAGATCTGTTTTGGAAGAAGTGTAGCCAGAGTGCTCGGAGATGGATTGGAAAAGTGGCAGCATCAATGAGCTCAAACGTGGCCACGTAGTGAGGTTGGCCTAGGATCAGGCAGTGTTTCATTCTGCTGTGCATAAGGTCACTGTGAGTCGGTACTGACTCGATGGCAGCTAACAACAGCAACAATAACAATGCTTTGGTAAATTATGCTTTCTTTCACATTTGACTCTATAAAATTTTTCATTTTTCATTTTTTACTTATTCTATTGTCCAGTAGTTTTAAAGGAGGTGTTATTCAATATCCATGTATTTGTTTTCCTTGACCTTCCTATTGCTGATTTCTAATAGGTTGTGATCTGTAAAGATGCCTTGTAGTATAGTATGTTGATGTTTTTTAAATGCATTGAGGCTTGCTTTCTGGTTTAACATAGGGTCTATTCTGAGGAATGATCCATGTGTAATGGAAAAGAATGTATATTGTACTGCTATGGCGTTCTGTATATCTTATAGACCTCTACAGAACATATACAGTGTTCTGTAGAGGTCTATAAGATCAAGTTGGTTCAATTTGTTTGTTTTTCTTACAGAGTTCTTCTGTATCTTTGTTGAGTTTAATACTAGTTGTTCTGTCCTTCATCAAAAGTGCTGTTTTAAGTCTCCTACTATTTATTATGAGGGGCTCTGGTAGTCTAGTGGTTACAAATCGGGCTGCTAACCTCAGCGACAGCAGTTCAAAGCTACCAGCTGTTCCATGGGAGAAAGATGAGGCTTTCTGCTCCTGTAAAGATTTACAGCCTCGGAAACTGTACAGGGTCGCTATGAGTCAGAACTGATTCCACGGCACATAACGACCATCACCACTATTTCTTATTGTCGATTTGTCTCTTTCTTTCCTCAATGCTGTTAGGGTTTGACTTATATATTTTGAGACTCTGTCATTGGTGGATAGGGATTTATTATGCCAATGGTCTCTTGTTCACTTGACCCTTTCATCATTATTTAACGTCCTTCCTTCTCTCTTTTGTTCATTTTTGCCTTAAAATCAATTTTATCAGAAACAAAGATGTCACTCCTACTCTTTTTTGATTGCTATTAGCTTGATTTTTGTCTTTGTCTCAGGTATATCTCTTATAAACAGCATATACATGGATTTTGTTTTATGGTTTTGTTGGTATTCATTTTTTCCCCAAGTGTTCAATATATAAACTTAATTTCTGTCCTGTAGCATAAAGAATAAGTTGGATCCAGGAATTCTAATATTTCATTATACAATGGAAAAACAGTAGTTTTAGATAATTAGTTAAACTATCAGAGTAGGAAATACTGTA